CCCCCCCCCCCCCCCCTTCGGTTTACGTACCACAGCTTGACATGGAGCTGCACCACCGCTACGACCCGTCGGGGGAGGAGTCTCTGCACGACGCCCAGCGCAGGGTCGCGAAGAAGTTCACGGTGCTGCCCCCCCTCCCGGAGGACCGATTCCTGTGCGGGTTCGGACACATCTTTGCGGGGGGTTACGCGGCAGGGTGAGCAGGGGGGGGGTACCCACAGCCGTACATGACGTAGTCGTCAGACCGTTGAGGGAAGGGGGNGGGGGGGGGGGGGGGGGGGGGGGGGGGGGGGGGGGGGGGGGGGGGGGGGTTGGACGGCTGTGACGGGTAGATAGACCATACCCACTGGTGCCTTGTCTACGTGGGTATCCACGTTTTTCTATGTACTTGTAGTTGCCCAAACAGGGTATGACTCGGGGCGAACAAACTCTCCTGCTGCCGGGACATAGGAAACAGAGGTCATGTAGTCGGGCCTGACCTTTCGCAATGCTCGCTCTCTCTAGCTAGAGTTAAGCGACTAGGATACGCTTGCTCCCACAAACGAGAGCAAAATCCAAGATACGGCCCCTCCGTGGGGCCTTGTTATTTCCTTTTTGTGCGCACAGCCGCACCACCGCTCTCGCGATGGTAGAGCACCACAAACCTCAATGCGTCCCCCCTCCCTACGGCATGCGTCTAGATGAGTGGGAGTACGTCCCTCCTGCTTTCTGCCGCTGAAAAACCAAATCAGATATTTGTTCATGCACAGCATGCGTTGACATGAGTACCCCCCCCCCCCCTGAAAAAAAAAANTGAAAAAACAAAATCAGGTACTACTCGTATAAGTACGCGGAGGTGATGTCGGCCGACGCGTTCGCCGCGTTCGAGGAGGCGGGTCTCGACGACGAGGAGGCGGTGTCGAGGGTGGGGAAGCGCTTCAAGGACACCGTGCTGTCGCTGGGAGGCGGCCGGCACCCGTCCAAGGTGTTCCGCGACTTCAGGGGGAGGGATCCGACGCCGGAGGCGCTGCTGAAGCACTCGGGCCTCGCCACCGCAGCTGTGGCTTAGACTTCGCGCCGCCCCCTGGTCTAACGACCACGGCATGCACGGCTTTGATTACACCCCATCGTGAAGAGGGGGCAGAAAAACGTTTCTTTTCCCCCCACCCGTGCGCTCCGGTTGCTACAGCTAGGGGGTGTGAGGGGGTGGGGGTCAATCGATGGCGTTTTTGTTCGTCCATGAGAGAAACCCGAGGGGGGTGGGGTGTACTCATAGTCGTGCATTTGCGGGGGAACTTTGTTTGTGGGGCATGCGGCGTCTTGTGTGCATTGGTTAGGGCAGGGCTGACGATCGCGCCTTTTGGTGCCTCATTGCTAATGATGCTGCTTCGGGTTAGGTCGGATTTCATCTAGAGAGGACAGCGGCATGTCTATATTGATGTACGCGCACTTTTGCCTCGTCTGACAGCAAAATACGGTCGGTGCCGCCAAGTGATGACAGCCCAGAAGATATGCCGAGCTCCCCTATACAAGCATGACGGATTCAGCGTGTCGAGGGACAAGAAAAACGAAACGCTGCTCTGCTGCTGTGAAGAATTTGTGTAGACACTGTTTTCGTCGACATTTTTCTTTCGTGTTCGGCCTCGCGACACACACCACGAGACATCATCATCAGCCGTTCAGCCTCATCTGGCGCTTGCTTCATCGGGAGTTGCTGGCTTGTGCCCAGCGAGCACGTAGGAGTCTTCGCCATGCAGAAAGAAATGTAGCCCGGCATTACCGGGTTGCACATACGTGCGGTGTCGACGACAATCTCTTTGTTCTTTTTGGTAGCCTTGCGGTCGTTTCATTCGCTTCCGTGCAAGAAATCTAGCCCAACGTAGCCGGGTTGCGAAGACGTGCGGGGTCGCTATGGTCAGTTATTTTTTGTTCATTCCGTAGCCGTGCGCTCTTTTGCTTCACTTCCGTTACAAAGGATGCCCCCGGCCGGCCACAAACGGCAGGGCTTCGGAATTTTTTGTAGTGTTACCTATCGAGGTCACGAGCTGCCACGCTACCGATGAGATAAAACTGTCGCTAAGAAAGTTAGTGGCGTGCCACTGCCTCTGTACAAGATACAACACACACATGTACAGGTAGGTGGGCAGCTTGATTTTTCGCCTGCGGCTGCGCCTCAGTTGGTGAGTTCTCGCTCGTGGAAGAACCAACACAACGAACACGCGTCTATGCGACGCTGCGTGCACACATCACCCCAGCGAGAGATCAGTAGCCAATCTCGTCAGGATCCACGCACAAGCTCTTCGGCACGTACTTTTATTCTTATCTCGCCGTGGGGATAGGCGAATCTCCTCCCAAAACCCCAAGCACACGTGCACAATTTTTTCGCCCGGCCATTCGGTCCTTTTAACACACACACAACATCATTAACAGATTTTTACATATTACCGCCCACCGCCCCGTCTTCCCATACCACCATGAAAGGAAACAACACAACATACAAACAGCACAGAAGGACGTACATATGGAAGCGAGGGCGAGCGCGTCATGCGTGTGCTAACAAACATATCCGCGAAGCCGCTCTCTCTCTCTCTCACACACACGAGGGAGGGGGGGGGGGGGGC